GGGTGCTGCTCAGAGCTACAATTGGATACTCTCGCTGTATCATTTGCATCCAATCTTTGTGTTAGGTCCTTATTGCGCCTAGCTTCACCAATATTATGATCCTTATGTTCTTCAAACAATAATGTTTGAATTTCACTGACAGAGCGCGATCTTTCAACACCGCGTCGGACAGCTGTTTGAGAGTCAGAGGCATGTGCGCCACCCATGGTTGCTCATTCAGTACTAACCCAGACAGCAGTCCTAGGGCATTCTGGGAATTTTTTTCCAAGATGGCTGCCTCTTACTGGAGGTCCTAAGAGTTCATTTTGTACACAACCAACCTTGCACACATTCAGAATGGGTATGAAAAAATCAAAGAGAGTTTTCTCGGTTGGCGCAGTTCCCACCGACCGAGAATACTCGTTTTGCGCAGTTAAGTGGTTAAAAGTACTGCAAGTCAATTTACCAATTTTATTATAGTATTACAACTTTTTTTTTTTTCAACAAAAGCTACATATTAGTCTCTGCAAATGTATATTTTATCATTAGCAGAGAAAAGGTGAGCTCAAAAGATTTCGTCTTGGCTAGCTCTAAGTTAATGACAAGGCTCGAACGCCATTGTGTGGCCAGGCTGCCACAGCCTGTGTCGTAACATTAAAAATACATTACCTGCACTGTACAGGGTAAAACAAAACACATCTCTAAAATTTTATTGAGAAAATATTAACAATCACTGATTAATACATGAAATATTTTGCAATGTAAAGGAATGAACCAATTTTTTTCCCACTACTTGATCAGAGCGGTTCACACATCATCCATGCAGCAGCCAACAGCTGGCGTAATCGGCGGTGTGGCACAAAATTGTAACACAATTACACAATAAACTTTATTTAATTTTAGTTATACAGTACAAAATATATCCTACTTGAATGTTACTTGAAAAAACTTTATTTAATTTTAGTTATACAGTATAAAATATATCCTACCTGAATGTTACTTGAAAAATTACCCAACCAGACTTAACTTCGGAAATACCGGAGCTCCGGAAATAACGACGAGGGTACAGCCCCATATAGGCCGTTAAATCGAGTGGATACTTTTCAGGCATTCACTTCACACAACAGCTAGGCTTACTACTAATTCACATGAGAATAACACACTACACTTTAATAAAAAAAAAAGTTGACTAAGAGCTGTAATGCACTTGTACAATTGAAAATCATTTCTATATTTACACAGTGTACATTATACTGTGTTGTACAGTATCTTTTTGTCAAGGCTCAATTAATCATTAACCCAAAAGCTCCTAAGGGGTCCTGAGGAGATTTACACCCCTGTGCGTAAGAAAAAAAATTCAATTTTTTTTTCGTCTTATAAAAATGTTAGTGTTCCCTGAGCACGGGGAAAAAAAATCGTAGGAGACATATTTTTTTGGGCGTAATAGACTGAGGAAGTCTGGCAAAAAGTGGGCGTTCACAGAGTGGTCTTCAGAGTCGATCAGCGTCACCTGAGCTAACAGGTGGGAGTTGCCACAAAGATATTATCACCTAATTATTTCAATGTTTCTGATTGATTTTTTCTTAGTTATTTTGCAGTAATATTATTCAATAGTGTGTATTGTGATATATTATATAATAAAAGGGGTGAATGTTGACCAGACCACACACTAGAAATTGAAGGGACGACGACGTTTCGGTCCGTCCTGGACCATTCTCAAGTCGATTGTGATGAGGACAGGTAGGGACAGGCATTAAATAGGCAAGAGAGAGTTGAGGAGGAAAGTCAGGTGTAGGGGATAGTAGTAATGAGAACTGCAGCAGGCCTATTGGCCCATACGAGGCAGCTCCTATTATAACCACCGAAGGAGATAGTAATAGGAAAAAGAAGAGGATAGCAAGGGAGCGTAGAAGACAATGAACAGAAAAAGGGAGAAGAGAGAAAGAAAGGGAAAGAGAAAGAAAGAAATGGAAGGGGGAAAGCTTATGTTAAGTCACGTTTGTTAGAAAGATTTGAGCATTTGAGTATATACTGTGAAAGGAAAGAGTCCACAGCAACAAAGCCAGGACTCAAGTTCATGTTGGGTACATTGTTAATAAGAGCCGATTCTACAAGACGGCGTCTGTGTAGAGTAGAGGCAGGAAAGATTATTTTGGAGGAAGACCAATCAATGGGATGATTAGAATCCCTCACATGGCAGAAGAGAGCATTGTTAGTGTCTGCAGACATAACACTTCTCTTGTGTTCTTTAAGTCTGTCATTCAGTGTACGGCCAGTTTCGCCAAAGTATTGGAGAGGACAAGATGAACAGGAAATAGAGTAGATACCAGCAGCATTAGAAGCAGGAGGAGCAGTGTGAACTAGATTGCTACGAAGTGTGTTAGTTTGTCGAAAGGCGAGTTTCTAACGGCGGTATCACAGTGGTTAACCACTGTGATGCGCCGCGTTTATTGTGAAATTCCCTCCGTGCGCATAAAATCAAGTGTTCCCAAAAAATTATTTTTCTTTGTAAAATGATAAATTCCCTTCCCTGAACATGTCTATGTAAAAATAAATACCAAATTCCACTTTGGGTGTGGAGACATGGACAAGGTGCGCTCTGACATCATCAGGGGCTGGTCGCCTGTGTGTGAAGCTCCAAGACACGGTCGCGTGGGCCATTCAAGCACCGAGTGTTGCCACAAATATATTTTCAATTATTTGTTCTATGTATTTCCAATGCGTTTTTTTCATCGTACATGATGCATATTTGTGTCCTTTACAATATGTATACAGTAGAACGTTCATAATGTTCCATGGAACTGTGATTCATGTGTCAGTAATGTGTCCACAATAAATGTTTGTCACAATATTACTTGTTAAAAATTCACTAAAATTTCAATATGAACAGTTTCACACACTATTTACACAGTAACATACTGTATTACACACTGAGTACTTAGGAAGTGAGTAATAACCACCAGGTACAGATAAATTTTCGCTTACTGTTTCTTCGTTCTGTGTGCTTACAAATAAGACACACACGTACAGCCTTGGCTTTAGTATCTGTAGGTGGTATGTAGCCAAGCTTGTAAAGCATAAGGTAGTATTGAAGATTATAGGAAAAGATCAATTTGTAAGGTTGTCTTGAAAAGATCACTTTGTTAAGGGCCCACACAGGAAGAGATTCAGCTACCCTCAAAGAGTGTTCGTCAATTTGGAAGAGATTCAGGCAGTCTGGAAGAGATTCAGCCAGCCTAAAAGAGTGTCAGTCAGTCTGGAAGAGAATCAGCTATTGTTGAAAATATCAATGGAAAACACCACCATGGAACCCACTAACACTGTTCATATATGCTACTTGTATCAGATGCATTATCACTGAATGCAGATAACGATTCGTTTATGTATCATCTATATAAATTGAAGAAGGCATAGGTGGGCAAGGGTGGCGCTCAGAGCTACAACTGGATACGCTCAAAGTATTGTCCTCATAGGTGCTGTATCACTTGCATCCGACCTTTGTGTTAGGTCCTTATTGCGCCTAGCTTCACAAATATCATGACCCTTGTGTTCTTCAAACAATAATGTTTGAATTTCACCAACAGAGCACGATCTTTCAACACCGCATTGGACAGCTGTTTGGGAGCCAGAGAGGCACATGCGCCACCCATGGTTGCTCACTCAGTACTCAACCTGTCCTTTTACAAATTACGTCTGAATTTGGCTCTTTACCCGTATGGCCGAAAATGGACTTAATTTGAAAATGAAAAAAAATTTAAAATTAATTTTGAACTTTTTTTTTTCTCCAAAATAGCAAGTTAAGGGTCCTCTGGTAGGTTAGGATTGCAGGAAAGTCTGCTAAAGTTTCAAAACGTCATGAAAAGCGTTAATTGAAAGGTTCCTCTCCGAACCTAACCGAGTAAGCCGGAGGACTCAAACGGAAAATGGGACAGTACATCACTTTTGTGAGCCGATTTCACTTCAAATTACGTCCATTTTGGGCCATAGCGCGCATACGAGCGAAAAGCGACGGTATTTTTAAGAGGACTGGTTGCAGTACTGACCCAGCCAGCAGCCCTAGGGCATTCTGGGATTTTTTTCCAAGATGGCTGCCTCTCACTGGAGATCCTAAGAGTCTATTTCGTACACAACCAACGTGCACACATTTTGATTGGGTATGAAAAAATCAAAAAGAGTTTTCTCGGTTCGCGCAGTTTCCCACCGACCAAGTTTTCTCGGTGCAGTCCAGTGGTTAAGGGTTAATTGAGGTTGGTGTACATGTCGTGGCTTTTATACCAACTGGGAATCAGCTAGTCACGTATGTGGAGAATTCATCCTGGGATGGATGTATAATTTGTTTTAGGTAAATAAATCAATTTCCAATCTAAATTACAATGCAAATAAAGCAGAGTTTAGACTGGGTTTAATTAGATTCAAATAAAGAAGTCGTCCCCCATGTGATTTGGGGCGGCTGACGCAGCAGCAGCCATATATAGTAGGAAACTTATGGCGTTCCTACACTAGGAATTATTAGTACTGGTATTAGTAAATTTGATTTCCTAACACAATACTTCTATCTCACTGTGCTAGGGGTTAGTATTTGGGTTGTCTGAAATTTCTGACAACCAAAATCATATGATGAATATCCTATGATCAGGGAACTCAATTTTCCAATGCTAGAAAGATTTTTTTTTCTTGCACACCAGGGAAATGTCAGCTATATACAGTGCCACAGTGCAGGGGTTAATATCTCGTGCACCAAAAAAAAAAAAAAAAAAATTAAAAATCACTTTAAATTTCTTGGTATCTGGAATGGGACAAACAGATTTGCAATGTTCGGTTAATGTTTGTTATATATAGTCTGCTGGCTACTTTATTTTGCCTATTTGTATTTGATTGTGGCAAAAGAAACAGTGAAATACAGTATTGGCATACCTAACATAAATTTATTCCTTTTGGGAATTTGTATTAAATGTCAAAGATTCTGTATTTTGTATTTGTTGATTTAAGACCTGGTGATCTCTCAAACTTTTCCTTTGCAGTTCCCAAGATCTGAAGAAGAAAGAAGAAGAAACTCTTCTAGTGCCAACACCCAGTGGCAATAGAGCTGAAGTGTCAGAAATACTGTGTACATGATAGTTTCAACAGTGTTATGAAGTACCTCACAGTATCAGATATACTGCAAACACAATGTCATTAGCAGTGTCATGAAAGCCATTACCATGTCAGTAAAACTGCAACTACAGTATAAGGGTAAAACTTTGCTTGAGCTCATTTCCATATATTATTACATGCACAGCCTGAGCATCCTGTAGATTAATGTTTACTCGACTCCTTTAAATATTGTCATGTCTTGCATTATCACATTGTTAACACCTTCATCTGAAGCAATGTTCATGCATTAACAGCATCTCACGGACTATCACCATGGTAACACTCGTTTAAAGCCCTGTATGTGTACAGTGTATTATCAGTATCTCATTCTATATGTCACCATGGGAACAAAAGGAATGTTTATTTAAAATTAAATTTATTGTATGGTTGATAATTCATTGTGTTGGGGGACAGGCAGTCAGTGTATATGTACATGTTAGGCTTATATCGAGATTCTGCCCAGGGTTGAATTATTGATCCTCCACAGGATACAGCCCTACAATAAGCTAACTCCTGGGTGCTTCTTTCTGCTAGATAAACAGGAGCATTAGAAGATAGGAAATTTGCCCAATCATTTTTGTACCACCCGGAATTCCCGATTGTGAGTAAAGTAGTACAAAAACCAATCGTACTACCAGGGACTCTTGATGTATCTTGGCATTTGATCTCTGTATTTGTTAATAATACATTGAGTGTAATTGTTCTGTATGTTTATATTATTTTTATTTTGAAAGAAAACATTTCAAGGTTATTTAAATGAGTTATTTTTACAATATAATTTTATTTTTTTATCAAATTTTTCATAAAAATTTTCCATTGTAAAAAATCACTTTTTTTTTCATTATATGAAAGAGCATTCTTAAAAAAACTTGTGTATACCGTATGATAAATATGGATTTAAGTAATTTACTCTTGAAGTTCATAGGACTACCTAAATAAGGTAATATATGTAATAAGACATATTTGTGGGTATATCTATAATTAGACATCCCATAGTGCTATGGTTATAGTAAGACATTCCACATTACTGTTGTTATATTTATTATAAGATATCCCACATTACTGTGGTTATATTTATAATAAGACATTCAACAGCACTGCAGTTTTATTTATAATAAGACAGACCTTAGTACTGCTGCTATATAATACAACATCCTGCAGTGCCATAAAAAAGTCTTTGTTTTCTTTGGAAGTTATTCAAAGGCATATGGTACATTCTTGAAAATTTCAAAATAAACATTTTGGTACTGGATTTGTTTGATGTATTTACAAATTCATGCACAGACATAAATTTTGATGATGTTGGGTTATGTGTTGAACAGCTTACATTTATATGTAAGCTTTTACACTCTGTAATTCATTTGATATATTGTACAGTATATTTTAAGTCTAGTATATTTTATAATATGGACACAATGTTTTCATACTGTTCAGGAATCAATAAGATCAATGGTTTACATATTGTCAAATTTTGCATTAACTTTTACAATTAACATGTTAATAATTTGCTTTATATTCATATCTAGGATATTGGGAAATTTTCATTAGTTCATATGATATTCAGTGCCATCACTTGACAGCAGAGGTAACACTTCATAATATGGCTGCTCTATGCTGGCTGCAAGGTAATAACTTGTATTAATTACATATCCCACAATTCAAGCATTTAGCATCTTTAATAACATTTGCTTTAGTAATATTCAAAAACTCGTGCAAAATAAAAACCATATGTTATTGAGACTTTTCTCTAATATTTATAAAGCAAACAATAATGTATTCAGCAGAAAATACTTAAAATCATTGTCTACTAGACTTTACTAATTTTTAGTAATAAAACTTTACTAATATAAATATTTACTAAAATAACTGTTCATACTCATCAGTGGGAACTTTTTTTTTTCAAAAATAAAAACCTCATCAGTGATGAATGTTCAAAAAACTGTCTCAAAATATCTCATCAAATAACATACAAAGATTTAATGACAATCCTTAATATTTATTTTCTTATCTAAAAACTACTTTCAGAAGTATTAAAAGTTAAATATGAGTGCTCATTTAGGAGAGAAACCATATCAATGTTCAGTATGTCTAAAAGATTATGCACAGAGACATCATCTAATACAGCACATTAGGATTCATACAGGAGAGAAACCATATCAATGTTCAGTATGTCTAAAAGCCTTTATCTCTAAATCAAATCTAACAAAGCACATTAGGATTCATACAGGAGAGAAACCATATCAATGTTCAGTATGTCTAAAAGATTTTTCACAAAAACATCATCTAATAAAGCACTTTAGAATTCATACAGGAGAGAAACCATTTCACTGTTCTGAGTGCCTAAAAGAATTTTCAAGTAAATCAAATCTAATTAGACACATTAGCATTCATTCAGGAGAGAAACCATATCAATGTTCAGTATGTCTAAAAGCCTATTCACAGAAATCAATTCTAATAAAACACATGAAGATTCATACAATATAAAGACCATGTCAGTATTCTGTTTCTAAAAGGTTTTTCATATAAATTGAGCCTATTAAGACATGAAACCTCATATAGAAGGACAATGACATTTTTTTGTAGTTACAACAGGTAATATGGAACCCATAACAGAGCTTTTATTGTTTAAAAGACTTTTTATGAATTTAACCTAGTTAGCCCACTCTCGTGGTTGTTTGACCACTATGACAGCTTTAACCCATGGGCTGCTCTTGTGATTATAGCCTGCAACATGCCTAGGCACAAGAAATAAAAAAAAAAATAAAGATAAAAATTGTCTCATTAGTGTTCACCCCCCCTCCCCATCCGGCCCGTTGGCGTCGTGAGAGGGGCTTAGTGGACGGCTGCTGGAGTGTGATGCTCCGTGGGACAGTCCTCTGTCCTTTTATGGCCTTGCACTCCTGCTGCTGTCTTCTCTAATTGTGCCGGATCGCTTTTCCTTTTCCTTTTGTTTCGTTTTTCTCCCCCCCTCTTCTCCTATCTGCTTGTCTTTTCCTGCCGACCTTTTGCTTGTTTTGGTTCTTCCTTTGGACTTCTTCTATTTTGACGCCCAGGTGCTTGAGGAGGCATACTCTTGCACCTGTAGAACTGTAGTACCCGACGTCTCGAGCGAGGGGAACCTTTTATTGTCAATCCCCCTTTCATCGCTGAACGCGATCTCGACGGAGTGACGGTTCTGAAGGTAGCGTTTGTGGGGCGTATACTTACGACGCATCCCTAGGGGGCTCCGGCATGATCGGCAATAGCTTCCTGTTGGGTGTCCTGCCTCTAATTGTGGCTCCATGGTAGGTATGGGGGCACATTCGTGGATGAATTTCTTTCTCTATGTCGTTAAAAGTTTCTGTTGTACCCTCTCAGGCTCATGGGGTGAGCGACCAAGCCCCCAAGTTGGCCTGTATTGGAAGACCGGGCTCTGTAGCCCCCGCTGCATTGGGCCCCGTCCTTGCTTCTTCTTTGTCCGTCCTGAATTCTTCCCCCAGCTTCCCTCCCTCCCTCTGTGGTTGGGTCGAGCCTCATGCCCCCAGTGGTGACCACTTCGTCCCCTAATGCGGCTAAGTCTCTCGTTGTGACTACTGCTCCTTTTGACCCCTCTCTCTCTGGGGGTTTTCAACGCCGTCGGCGCCACGGCCGCGCTCGCTCGTTTCCTTCGTGTACTGATGTGTATCAGGCCTTATTTGGTCCTGGTTCGTGGGCCAAATACTTTGATCTCCTCCCTCTTGATTCTGCGCCGCCTGACGATTTCTCCCTCCATCGGCATCTCGTTGATTCCGTGGATGTGTCTGTTACTTTCAGCCCCACTTGTCTCGGTACACGTGTCGTTGCTGCTCCTTCTCAGGTTGCAGCTTCCCACTTGGCTGCCTTGTCCTTCCTTGGCGAGATCCCTGTTTGGGTCTCAAAGAACATTCAGTTGAACGCCAGTGTTGGCACTATTCTCCTTCCGCCCCATGTTGCGACCGGTGTTCGAGATCTGCGAGACTGCCACGACGATATTCGACATATCCTTGATGCCCAGGGCCATTCTATCCTCCAGATAGACTCGTTTAGTCGTCCCCCTCGTGGTCGTCGCCGTCAACCCCTTCGAGTTGTGAAGGTCACCTTTGATGGTAGGACCCTTCCATCCTCTGTCATTCTTGCTGGTGCCAGGTGCTCTGTCCAGGAGTATATTCCTTCTCCTCGGCTTTGTAATAAGTGCTGGAGGTTTGGGCATGGTTCCCTCCGCTGCTCTGGGACTGTCTCTTCTCTGTCCTTTGTGTGGGGATGAAGGTCACTCTAAGTCGGAGTGCACTTCTCCCCAAGCTCGTTGCCTCAACTGCGGCGAGGCCCATCCTACCTTCTCCCGTGCCTGTATCCATTACAAGCTTGAGGCAGCCGTCCTCAACTTGAAACATCGGGAGCGTTTATCTTTTCCCGAGGCGAGGCGCCAGGTTTGCCGGCTCCCGCCTTATGTTAACGTCTCTTATGCTCGTGTGTTGCGCTCTTCCTCTCCTCGTCCTTCCCACCTTCCTCAGACTCTCAACCGTTTCCGGGCCTTGGACCCTGATGCGCCCACTGCCCCCTCCTCTGTTCCTTTGAGTTCTGTCCCGAAGGGTCCCCCTCCTGGTCCTCTGTCTGGGGTTCCCCTTCTTTCTACCCGGTCTGTCATGTCTCCTGTGTCTTCTTCCTCGTCTCCCTCCGATCCTCCTTCTCATCCTTCTCCTCCATCTATTGACTCCCCGCCGCCTGTCGGTGCAGGCGGATGTCCATCGCTCTCCTAACGGCCGTCGTGTGTACTCTCAGCTTCTCCTATTGAGACGCTGGAATCCGTTGCCCAGTACGTAGTTGCTGGGACACTTGTCTCTTTGCGTCAGAAGCGTAAGCCTGGCTCCTCTCCTTCCTCCTCCCCGGCGGGTAAGAAGGCTTCGCTTTCTTCCTCGGCCCCTACTACTGGCTCTATTGCTCCTTCTCCCATTTCAGTGGTTGCGCCCCCTGTTCCTGCTATGGAGGTTTCTTTGGCCCCCGCTTCCCTCTCGGTTGCTGCCCTTGCTGAAGTGCGCTCCCCTCTTTCTACATCCCCTCTTCCTGCTGCTGTCCTTGACTGCTCCTCTCCGTTGTCTCCTCTTCCTCCTCCTCCGGACCCCGCCCGCCCACCTCTAGTCTGTTCTCCCGCTTCCTTCCCTCCGTCTTTGCTCAGTTTACCCATGCCTCCTAACCCTGACTTTGCTGACCCTGATATTCTTTAACGTGCTCTGTTGCTCTTTCGCCTTTGTTTCTTCCTTGTTCTCTGTTTTTGTCCTTTCTCTTCTCGTCGATGTCTATTCTTCAATGGAACGTTCGAGGTTTTTACGCCAATTTCCTCGAACTCCAACTTCTAATTTCGCGGTTTTCGCCCCTTTGTGTCTATCTTCAGGAGCCGATGCTTGGTGCTCGTCCTGGTCGTTTTCGTGGCTATTCCTTTCTCTCCCCACCCCCAGCCGTTGCTGGGGCTCCTAATTCTTCTGCTCTCTTGATTCGCGCTGATGTTCCCTTTGTCCCCTTACTTTTTCCTTCGCCTCTCCATTGTTCTGCTGCTCGTATCTTTGTGGGGAAATGGTACACAGTTTGTTCTATTTATCTCCCCTCGAGTGTCCTGCTTTCTCTTCCTGATTTGAAACACCTCCTGGACTCCTTGCCGGATCCTGTGCTCCTGCTGGGTGATTTTAATTGTCGTCATTCTCTTTGGGGTGATGTACTGACGAATATTCGAGGTCGCCTTATTGAGCCGTTTTTCCTCTCTTCTTCCCTGTCTCTTCTGAATTCTGGTGAGCCCACTCACTTGGACTCTCGGACTCGCACCCTTTCCTGTCTTGATCTTTCTCTCTGCTCTTCTTCTCTTTACTTAGATTTCACGTGGCAGGTTCTTGATGACCTCCGTGGCAGTGACCATTCCCCATCCTTGTTTCCTTTTTCTCTTTTCGCCCTTCCCTTTCCTTCCCTAGGTGGCAGTTTGCTAAGGCGGACTGGAACCTATTTACCCTCAGTGCTGCTTTCTCTGACCTCTCCCTTCTGCCTCTCCCTCGTGCTCTCCTCCTCTTTCATGACAGTCTTCAACGCTGCCCTCCGCTCTATTCCTCGCTCTTCCTCTCGGGGTCCGCGGAAGTGCGTTCCCAGGTGGAATGCGGATTGTGCTCGGGCTCTCCGCTGTAAGCGTGGAGCCCGGAAGAGGCACCGCCGTCGGCAGACGGTCGATTCTTTTCTTTCGGAAAGCGAGTGCGGTGGCCCATAGGGCCATCCGTACGGCTAAACGTGAATGTTGGGCATCTTATGTCTCAACAATTACGTCCGAAACTCCTCTGCCCCAGATCTGGAAGTGTATCCGCAAGATAGCGGGTAAGTTCGTTCCCGATGTTTCACCGGTCCTTCACCTCCATGATACTCTTGTGGCGGACCCATTGCAGGTCGCTTCCGAACTAGGTTCCCACTTTTCTTCTGTTAGCTCTGGTCTTCATCTTCCCCAATCTTTCCTTCTTCGTAAACCTGTCCTTGAGTCTCGTCCTTTAGATTTCTGCACTCGTCTTCAGCTTCCCTTTAATGATCCCTTCTCTCTCTCTGAACTTTGTTCTGCCCTGGCCCTCTGCGGTTCTACAGCGGCGGGCTCCGATGATATTCATTACGAGATGCTTCGCCATCTCCCTCCGTGCACGTCTCAGTATTTACTGAGTCTGTATAATCGGATCTGGGAGTCATCGTCAGTCCCTGAGGACTGGCTCGATGCCGTTGTCCTCCCTGTTTGCAAACCGGGGTCTCTGGGTACTTCCCCTAAGGACTTTTGCCCTATTGCCCTCACAAGTTGTGTCTGCAAACTCTTTTGAACGTATGGTTAACATTCGTCTGATGTGGTTCCTGGAACACCATCACCTCCTCTCCCCTTCTCAATTTGGTTTCCGCAAGTGCCGCTGCACGACAGATGTCCTGGTGAACTTGGAGGTCTATATTCGTTCTGCTTTTGCTGCGAAGACCTCCGTTGTTGCCGTCCTTTTTGACCTGGAAAAGGCTTACGACACCACTTGGCGATATCATATTTTATCTCAACTTCATTCTTTTGGCCTTCGTGGTCATCTCCCTCTCTTTCTCCGCAGCTTCCTCTCTCGTCGTTCCTTTCGGGTGCGCCTTGGTACCGCTCTCTCTGCCTCTTTTCAGCAATACGAATGTGTGCCCCAGGGTAGTGTTCTGAGCACTACTATTTTTCTTGTTGCCCTCAATGGCCTTCTTTCCTCTCTTCCTTCAGGTGTCTTCTCCGCTCTCTATGTCGATGATCTTGCCCTTTGCTGTCAGGGTGATGATTCGCCTCTCCTTCAGCGCCGGCTTCAACTTGCAATTGATGCCGTGTCGTCTTGGGCCACTGATCATGGCTTCAAGTTCTCTACTTCTAAGACTTGTGCCATGACTTTTACGCGGAAACGGGTCGTTCTTCGTCCCTCTTTGTCACTTTGTGGTCATCCCCTTGAGTACAAAGATTCCGCGAAGCTTTTGGGGTTATTCCTTGACACTCGTTTGTCTTGGTCTTCCCATATCTCTTACCTCCGTGTTGAGTGCTCTAAGGCCCTTACCCTCCTTCGGGTCTTGTCCCATACTTCTTGGGGGGCAGATAGGCGCACTCTCCTTGCTTTACATTCCTCTCTCGTCCTGTCTAAGCTCGATTATGGTTGCCCTGCTTACTCGTCTGCTTCTCCTACTCTTCGCCGTCTTGATGCTTTGCACCATTCTGATGGTTGCGCCTCAATTCTGGTGCCTTTCGTTCGACTCCCGTCCTTAGCT